CCCCAAAACCCCAAAACCCCAAAACCCCAAAACCCCATAGAGATTTCATCTAAAAATTCTATTAAAGTTATAATATTCAAGATTAAATTTAATTATCTTTACAAGTTAATGGATAAATACAGAGTAGACTAGTCCAATGACCCACAGGCGTATAATTTTGAAAATTACGCCACATTTTTCGACAAAGCCAAAATAGAGTAAAGATAAAATCATTTTAATAAGAGTAGAGGATAAACTTTTCAAAATAAGATCAACCCTCTTGATATCTCATTGTAGCAGTATGAGGAATTTTAGAACACTAATGGAGAGTTTCAAAATGAGGAAATATAAAGTGACTTATAAATTTATCACAAAAAATATGGCGATAACAAGGATAATATACTTATCGATAATCAGTAACTCAATAAGTTTACTAATGGCAAACAAAGTCATTCAATTATTGAAAAATATTCAAACTAAGACTCATATAAGGAAAGGTAAACAACAGAACCTACAAGGTAGAGTTTAATTAATGAGACATCGGATTTTAATCCTATTGAAGAAATTGGAGACAGCGAAAACACATCAATAATAATTTAGTAATAACAAGTAGCCATCAATAAGACTAACCCTACAATTAAATTGAAACCAAATAAATCAATAGAGCAAAAAGTTCTGCAATAGAAAAGCAGAGACTATAAAACATGAAACGTTAATCAAGTAAAACTCCCAAATATTTATCAGAACTCTAGCAGAATTGATTACAGTGATAAAGTAATGAGTAAATTGTCAAGTTGAAGTAACAAAAGCCACACAATAACTCCTCAAAGAACAAAAGATTAGTCAATTTAAGGCACCTAGTTAGGTTCAAAATTGAAAGTACCTGAAACAATATAGATAAAAGCCTAGTCATTTTAATAAGAAAGCTCATCCAAATTAATTGACGAAGAACAGATTAAATCAGAGATTCGCGCTTAAATATAGGAAGAAAATATGGCTATGATACTGAATTTATAATCTAAAAATTAAGAACTTATAAACAGTATGGGTGGTCTAAGTTAAAGAGTAGAGGATCTTATTAAGATAAATCTCATTAAACACTAAGAGAATGCAAATTAAATTAAAACCTCAGGAAAGACCGGAGATAGTAAAGAAATATCAGAAATGAAGTAGATGTTAAATGCTTTGCTTTTGAAAATGGAAAAGGAAGAACATATTACTTAATCACTTAAGCAAGCAATTGATAACAAAAATTATTAAAATAACTATTCCAGAGTAGAATCTAGATAGGATTATCAGAATCAAGCGAAAGCACATTCTAGGTAAAATGATTCTAGAAATACTAATACCAATTAGTAACACCTAAAATATAATACAGAGTAGGTTTATTAAAAAAATTTAGACAGTATGGAAAATCTAGTAGGAATTCAATAAAATTATTAGCCACATATTCGCCAATATAGTTATTAAGAAAATTAAACACCACAGGGATAGTAAATTATGACTAATTAAGTAAAGACATATCAAGCAGATCATTAGTAAGATTAAATTTAAGAGTCATCTAACATGGAATTCTTTTAGTAACAGATTCAAGACTTGATGATACAGCTTCAAGAAAAGGAAAAATTGACATAATGGTATTAGCTTAAGCTAAAAGAATACGTGGAGCCATAGAAAGTTAATAATAAAATAATCAGATATATAAATATTGCCAATCGTGATAAAAAACTTCCAGGCAATAGGTTTAACTAAAACTCTCAAAGATAAAATGGAATCGGTAGTCATAATTTTTATTAAGGAGGTACTACTGGCCTTCAAAACATTAGTCAAATGGCTAGCATACTTAGGAAAAAGGAACTTAATGATATGTATTCACCAAGCAAGAGAAATTAGATTAAACTTGAGTAGATACCTGAAATAGATCAAGGTAAAAATAGATAAATAATAGATTACAAAGCAATCGTAAAAAATATAGATAATATGAATGGTGTCTATTTAAACCCTGAGGGAAATAGTTACTAAAATGCCAATGTTATTTAAAGTAGATCAGTAATTAACTCTAGTAGAAATTAAACAGTCATCATTCCATAGAACAGATTTCAAATCTAAAAAGGTAATCAGAATGCTAATAATACAATAATTGTGGGAGGCTAAAACTTAAAGCGAGAAGCGGGGTCTCCTTAATTAAATAAAATAATAAACCCTGTGTTTTAGGAAAGATCAAAGTCAACTCTGCATACCCAGTAGAATAACCAGAAAAACAATAATACTTAGAAGCCATAGGAATAAAACTACATTAATAACTAATTCTTTCCACAACCAAAGAGTTAATATTCACTTTAGTCAGCACAGACTGTATAGTAAAACTAGAATTCTTAACCTTAATCCACCATAAACTAGTAGCAATAATAAGTGAGGTAATAATAGCAATTAGATCAGGAGTAGTAAAAGCATTAAGAACTTGCACAGTTGAAAATTGAGGTAAAGGAATATATGCAAAGGCACAGAAATAATTACTATACTGAGTAGCAAGATAAATACTATGGAGTAAAAGATGCTTACACAAAAATAAGAGGTGATATCAATGAAGATCAAGCGATAAATTTTGATTTGTCCTTTAACAATAAATTTAAGCCTATGATTATAGTAGATTAGCCTGTCTAAATTGGAGTCTCTAACTAAGTTCGATAAGAATTTATTAAGGAAAGATAAGTTTATGGAGTAATGAGTGATTAAAATAGTATAAGTCGGAAAAATGATGAGTAGAACTTATGGGAGCAGATCAAAGTGCAACTGCTGTACTGAGATTATACAAATTGTTCATATTTTAAGATAATTATAGATTAGCAGAATTAATTTAATAATTTGAATGAATCTGCAGTCATAAAATTAATTTCATGGGGTTTTGGGGTTTTGGGGTTTTGGGG